CGTCCTCCATTGCTTGGGCTCCCGGGTCCCAGCTGCTGTTCTGTCAGCCGGGAAACCGTGCAAAGGGCCTCCGGATTCGCCGGAAAACGGTCCCCGTTGGGCTGCGTTCCCGTGCACTCAGCTGGAGCGATTTCCAGGCGCGCGAGATGCAGAGCTGAACTCATTTCGAGCTTTCGCTGCCAGGGAATGTTTGGGTTTGTAAATACGTATCTCGTTTCTGGAAAGGCAGCCGGTAGAGCCTGCAGAGAGGGGCCGTGGACGAGTCTCCGGTCCCCACGGCTGGAACCGGTGCCAAGAGGGAGCTCCCCGGGGCACAGCGTGTCGCCGGGATCGGGGAGCTCTGTCCTCCGGGGGCCGCGGGACTGCCTGGCGTTTTGTTTATTACCTGTTGGACAAGGGCTTTGCGGGGAGGATGGGGATTTTTAAAGCCATCTGTTTCAGTCGTGTTTTCTGGGAGCCTACATTTGACTCCAAAGGAAACAGAATCATCTCGCAGAGGGAGGGGGCCCCTTCCACATGGCCGGGCCCCGTCGCGGGCTCCACAAAGGGGAGATGTTGACCCGCGTGCACAGAGCCGGCGGCGGGCAGCCAGTCTCCCGGCCCTTTGTACTGAACTATTTGAACAAGCTGACTTTCAGATGAATCTGGCTCATTTTGGATAAGAGTTGAGGGAGCCTGGAGTCTCAGCTGAGTAGTGGTGCTTTTGAATCTCGGGCTTGGGAATCTCGCAGGGCAAATCGAGCAGGTGGGGAGGGTCGGAAGGGGCATGGGGCACGGCCGGCGTTCAGGTGCGAGCTGTGGGTCAAAGGCTTCGATGGGTGTTCTGCTACACACTCTGGTTTCATTTTAACAGGTCCCAGCTGAGCCGTTTCTCACTGATAAAGACAATGAAAACAAAAGCCATTCTGGCGCCCTGCAGGACACATAGAGGGAAGCGGGTTCTGGCATTTGTTTCTGTATTTATCACACAGCCAGTTGTGTGGAGACTAGGAAGTTTTCCTCTCATCAGTCTTGAGATGTTTGTAGAGCTTCTGCACTTCCCCTCCAGCTGCCATCTCGATTTTCTCTTCCTTCTCCCCAAACCTCTTTAAAGAGTGGGTGACATTCACCACCTCCATGTCCTCACTGCACAGCGGCTCCTTCATACCCAGTCAGTGGCTTCTGCCCCCTGAAGATAAACCTTGGTTAGGGCCATCAAACACCTTTTGGTGGCTAAACCATAGAGTATGTTGCATCCGACATTTCCCCCAAGTCTCCTCTGTGTCATTTTTGAACTGTTGGTTACCCTGTCTGTTTTTTTTCACTCTGTCCTGGGTTCTTGGGTAGGACACTTCCCTAGTTTCCCTCTGACCTTCTGAGTTATCATTTAACGCCTTGAAAGGTCTTCCCCTCACCGATGTTGGAGAGACGCTCTGCTTCTTGACTCTCTTTCCTTTGCATCTAGTAGTCTCTCTGGAAAATCGCACCCACCCCCATGGCTTCACCCACTTTGTACAAATCTGTAGCCTCTCCTGATCTTTCCTGTAAATACCAACCTTTCATACAGAACCTCTCCACTTTGGTCCCATGGAGCACCTTTAAATCAACATATTCAAACTGAATTTGTCTTTCCCCTTCCTCTCCCAGGCCTGCTCCTCCTCTTCACTGCTCCAATGGCATCCCTAGCTGTCCCAGCCAGACGCAGTAGAATTATCCTAGGGGACTTCCTCTCTTTCATTCGACACCTAATCAGTCACCAAGGCCTATCTACTCTTCCTGTTTAATGTCTTTCATACACACACCTGTGTCTCCATCTCACCTGCCACTGTTTTGGTGTCAGCCAGTACCACCCCAAGTGTGCTTCTGGTCACAACTTTCTGTGTGTCTCATTTAAGACCAGTACTACCCATCCCCAGGCCCCTTGTCACCATATGGTGTCAAACGGTCTTTCTAAAATGCAGTATGATCATGCAGATCTTTTTTGAAAAGTCTTCAGTGGATTTCTTTTTTTCCCTTTTGAGAAGAGTATTGATGTACATAGGTTCTCCCAGACTTGCCTTTTCCCTTCCTCTTCAACCTGATCTCTTGCCAGTCTCTCCCTCTCCACATATGAGATGTACATTTTAATGCACACTTTAGGCATACTGTGTGCAAATTTAGGCATAGTAAACTAGTTACTAAATATGACTTTCCTCCCTGTCCTTCTCTTAAGTCTGTGCCTAGTTTCTATTTTTCCTTTAACACTCAGCTGAGAGCCACTTTCTCTTGGAAACTACCCAGATCATCTGCTCCTCATCCTCCTTTCTTTTTCTCATAGAGCTTCCTCTACCCCTTCTATCAGAGCATTTACTATTTTTTATTGCAAATATCTTTATTACTCGTCTCTCCCATCTTAACCTGTAAACTCCTTGAGGGCAGGCATCAGCTCTTTTTGTCTTAGCATCCTTAGAGCCTAAAGACTGGACCCAATGTGAATCATCAGTGAATTTGTATGAATTCGCTTACAATTCTTATCAATGACTATTATGTTCAGAGATCCAATCTATAAAACAATATGGTAAAAAATGAAGAATGAAAGTCAACCATGATTATCAGGAAAAGGCACAGTCTTCCAATTATTTAACAAAGAAGAGTTCAGACTTTCTGGGTATTTGAGATAGTTCTCCAAGTCTCCAGATCTAACAACTCCTCTCCAATCCACACCTCGGCTAATGTGCTACCCACATCTATCCGAACCTTGCCCAAGGCTGGGAAAAGCTGCATGAAGAGCTTTTTGCAATTTTGTTTTGGCTTTGTGAAGGCAAAGGAATCATTTTCAGGGCAGAACCTGGCATGGGAAGAGGGTACTGAAGGCCAAGCTAAGTGGACTTCTAAGAGAGACTTTTGATAAGCTGATGTCAAACATACAAGCTGGTGTCTTTTGAAACCAGAAGTCAGGATTGGCAGGTGAGATCTCTAAGGGATGGTTGAGAGTGATGGAGGCTTTGGAGACTAAAGATGAAAAAATTCAGTTTGATTTCCTAAAGATGTGCATAGACAGAGAGGTGGATGATGATGATTAAGTTCTATAGAGGGTGTTTTAAACTGCAAATTGTTCTTGTTTGGAGTCACAGTCCTTTTGAGATTCAAATGCATGTTACTCTTCTCAGAAAAAAATACACAATATACAACATGTGGCACTTTTCATAAACTTTCAGGAGATTCATACAAGCCTACTCTTGGACCCCCTTGGGTTGTCATGAACCTCAGGTTAAGAATCTCTAATCAAAGGATTTATTCATTTGAGAGATATCTGGGGGAGTAGCTGACGATTAATAGGAGCCTGCATGGTCCAATAATGCACACTTTCTCTTTTGAGAGGATCCCAGTGTCATGTGTGGTGTTGAACTTGGAGTCACAGGACTTGGGCTCATGTCCCTGCTCTTGCACTCACTAGTTGCGTGTGACTTTCTCTCTGAGTGATAGTTTTATTATCTGTTAAAAAAGGATGACAAGGGTTGGAAATGGTAGCTAAAATAAAGTTTGTGAAAGGACTTGGAACGTGTTGTACTCAGTTAACATCAGTCAATTCAAAACCTTGAGTTTAGGAAGGGCCCAGATCTTGTGATGGTCTTTGGGATCATAAGCCTGCATGTGGGCTGGATTATGGGCTAGCTGAATGCATCTGTTAGAGGAGAGCTGTATCAGCAGGTGGACGTCTGTGGTGCTGTTCTACTGGCATCCGTCTTCATTCCTGTTTCATTCAATATCATTGACATCCCGGAAGGCATAACACACTGATCACATTTGCTCAGGGAAAAGGCATAAGGCTTAGGAGCCCAGAAGTTATCAGTAAATTGTAATATATTTTGACTCTTTATTTTTGCAAGGAGTGTGTAAAGGTAGATATAAAATATATCATGCAGAGGAGTGGGCATAGCCCAGTGGTAGAGTGCATGCATAGCGTATACGAGGTCCTGGGTTCAATCCTCAGACTGCTATGAAAAACAAACAAACACGCAAAAAAAATTAAAATCTATCATGCATGGTGCCAAAAATCAATTGCAAATTATTGGATGTGTGTGTATGAGAGAGAGAGAAAGCAGAGGGCGGGGTGGGGGTGTGGAGCAGTGAGATGGAGAAGGAGGGAGAGGGAGAGAGTCGGGGGAAGAGAGTGGGTTGCAGGAGAGAGGGGAGAGAGAGAGAGAGAGTTAAAAACAGAAAGTGGTGGCTTCATATAGTTAAGGTTTAGGGATTTAACCTGATAATACAATCAATCATGAGATATTTCTTCTGAAATAAAGTTAGGTTTTATTAAAAGAGGTATGGAGCATTAAACATGGAAGGTCATAGTTATTCTACTCTGTTTTATGCAAACCATGTTTAGAACAATTATATCAAGTCTGGGTGCTTCACATTAATTCATTAGCATTTTCAGGAGCACATACTACGTGCTGATCACTGTGCTGGGTACTAATGACAACTGTGCTGAAAAAAGACAGACCTGCTCTCCTGGAGTTCTGAGATATAGCAATAGATACAGCAATACAGCAAAGGTGCTAGGTGAACAAGTAGGTGATTTAATTCACTGTTATACTTGCTATATTAGGGGAAGCTTGTGTCCCTGTGGAACCACCTAAGAAAGAGCATTTAATCCAGATTTCATGGAACCAGGGTAGACTTTCTAGAGGCAGTAATGTTTAAATTGAAACCGAAAAGCTGAGTAGGGGTTGTCAAGGCGCAGGTGGTGGAGGGAAGAGGGTTTCAATTGCAGGTGATATTAACTTCAATACGGCAGAGACCTGTTGAGGAATTGAAAGAAAGGACATGACCCACAGAGGCAAGGGGATGAGAGAGATGAGACTAGAATGGTAGCAGGGGCTAGAACTTCAAGCTGTAAAGCTGTAATTGGTCCTTAGGAGAATAGGGAGCCACTGAAGTTTGTAAGCAGGGCAGCGTCACAATCAGTTTTGTGTTGGGGAAGAGCATTCTGGCAGCAGTATGGACAATGAGTTGGGTAGGGGGAGGTGGTCAGTAAGAGAGAGAGAGGAAGAGAGAAATGACTTAGGCGGCATTGTGGTAGTATAAGCGAGAAAGGATGGTGGCTCCAACCAAACTGGTAGAAGGAAGATGACAAGAGTGGAATATTTAACAAGCTAATTAGGAGCTACAAAGCAAGTAGTGACAAACTACAGGAATGCTCTAGGAAGAGAGGCTATAGGACATTTAACCTGCCAAGAGGAAACTCTAGAGAGCCACATTCTCTGTCTTTACATCTTTCAGTGTCATGTGGACGAGAGATTAACATTGTGCTTGTCTCTTTGAGATGGCAGCACTGGGTCAAATGAGTAGGAGACACAGGGCGATAAATTCCAGTCCAATACTCTGAAGAATTCTAACAGAATTGTTCCGAGGCAATGAGTTCTTTGTCACACAGACATTTAAACAAAGGCTTGATAAATATTTTTGGAAAAGTTGGAGAGGCAGGGATAGGGTAGCCAGGCTGGAGGGCACTGACATTTCCTTTCACCCCAAGATTCTGTGTATGAAGTTCAAGTCTCTTACTTAGCCTGGCATTTAAGGCCCACTGGGATCCAGCCCTTTGTGGAGTGGCCGTCTGTCCTGGCTTCCCTGTGTGTCCTTAGGGCAGCCTGTGGTCTCCTAGTGGCTATTAAGAGCACTCGATGTTCGCTGTCAAAAAGTCTTAGTTTGAACAGCAAATTTTATGATCACCGTGCCTTGACTTGATATCCCCATCTCATCGTCCCCTGGCATCCTGTTAGGAACCCTATGAATATTCACACTGAACTTTTTGTTACTCTCAGAAGAGACCCAGCATTCCGCTGCATGTTAGTTTACTTATGCTGTTTCCCGTGTCAGGAATACCCCTCCCCTGCACATTCTGTCTACCTTACTGACAATCTCCTTTCCCACCAAGGCCTAACCTAAATCACACGCTGAGCCCTTCATCAAGCCTTCCTGTAACACTGTAGTGCTAAGTACACAGTGATTTTTATACATATTTGATTTCCTTCTATTTCCCCCTAGAAGACCAGTACTAAGATCTGTGAAAAATAGTCATCCAATGGTATGAATGGTGCTGTGTCTAAGGCAATAACCTTTCAGAAAGAAATTTCTATTTATTTAAAAAGTCATATTTCCATCTTACAAATGATGCGTGCATCATGTAGAAAAAACTTTAAATAAGGAAAGTACCCGGAAGAAACAAAAAATCGTCTACAATCTCTGTACCTACGGATAAGCATATAAACACGTTGGCGAATATCCCTTCTATATTCTTTTACGCACATGAAGTCTCAAAATTGGAATCACACATAGCCTACTGTAACCTGCTTTTCACTAAAACATAGCAAATGTTTTATCCCATCTCATTATATACTTTTCAAAAACATGGTCTTCAATGGGTGGTGAATTGGGTTCCATTCTGTAGCTGTCTCGTGCTTCAAGTTCTCTTGGTGCACATCTGGCTGTTTCTGTCTTTTGATGTTATGAATGGTGCTATGATGACTCTCTGAGACATACATCCATGTACCCATATATCCATCCTGTATGGGACATTTCTATTTTCTAAAATGGCAAGACAGTTGATAAAAAAAAATGATATGGAGTTGCTAAGAACACATGAGTTAAAAAAGATCTGATTTTACTTTAAAAAGTTTTATTCCGATTCTTCGTTATATAACCCTATTATGTATGAGGTCTTATATATACACATATGTCTATGTCCACTTATTAACCCTCTAATGAAGATATGTGATTTGAAAATGTGTCAACAGTCGGTGGGCTTGATGCAGAAGTGAGAGATAACCAATAGCTACATTTCTGGAATGAAGAATTGAATATGAAATCTAAAAGCTTCAGCATCTCTGTGAATATCAATGTGACAAATTTTAACTCCTAAGCTAAATATAAGGAAAAGTGATGACGTGTATGTTACAGAATAAAGAGAATTCTCTGAAAGGAGAGACCCTGCCCGATGCTCGCCCACACCCCCAGAAATGTTTTGCAAGCTATAGGCACATCCCTTAGCCCAATCATGTTGACACATAAAGTCAACCGTCATACGGGTCTTCACAGAGGTCATCAAAGTTAAGTGAGGTCATCATCAGGGTGGGCTCTCATCCAGTGGTTGATGTCCTTATAAGAAGGGAAAATTTGACCCAGAGACATGGAGGAAGATGATGGGAAGAGAAACAGAGGCAGATGGCCATCCTCAAAGCCAAGAAGAGAGAGCCTTCTCTCACGGCCCTCAGAAGGAACCAACCCTTCTGACACCTTGATTTTGGACTTCTAAGAGTTCATAGGAGTGACAGGTGATAGTGTCCTGCTATTTCAGTGAACAACGAATTTTCATAACCATTATCTCCCTTGACCCTGACCATAGCATAAAAGATGAGCATTCTTACATCTCAGCTTTAGGGATAGGACACAGAGGTTCAGAGAGACTAAGTGAATTATTCAAAATTGCACAGATTGGAAGTGGTCGAGCTGGAACTCAAAACGTGGGCCTTCTGGTGCTAAATACCATACTCTTTTAATTAAAACACGATGCTTTTCACCTTCATGGACGTGTCAAATACCATCTTCTTTCTTTAAAATTTGAAAAGACGTGAGTTGTGGCATGCTAAGCCAGCTTTCTCATTTTTTTCTCCCCTAAATCCCCTGAGAATGATTTTATAATCCCACTTGTTGGAAGATCTCTGAGGGCTGAAGGCACCTACTCCACCCATGTCTTCATTATCAAATATTTATCAGGAACTTAGGCGCCCGTGTTTATGTGCACGGAATATTTCTTCTCCACTCAGAAGCTTTGTTTACGGACAAAATGAGCTTTCTCAATACACAGTTTGATTACTGACAAATCCAACTGCAAAGCTTTGGACATGTTGGATATAATTGAGTTTTTCCATCATTAATACTGCTCAGATATTAATTCAACATAGGGACCTGAGGGACGCCAAACAATTTCCAGGAAGCTGCTTGACTTTAATCAAGATTATTGCACTTTTTCCTTGGGTGACCTAAGCTTGTTCTTGGCACCCGTGAGCGCAGAGCACTGGTTGTCTCATAGAGTTTCAGTGGCTTCTACCCAGGAGATTTATTAGTTTTGAACCTTGGGGATAATTCCATAAGAATGTAATTCTTGTCCTCCTTGAAAGAACAGAATGTCGCTTGTGTAGGGCTGTTCTTGTTATGCGATAAAACCAGTGGTTCCCAAATTGTGGAATTGTAGCCGTCTGTAGGTAGGGTTGTCAGATTAAGGAAAAAAAAAAATTGACAACAACAAAGAAAACCCCAGGATGCCCCAGTTGAATTTCAATTTCAAATAAACAAGAAATACTTTTTTTTTTAGTATAAATACGTCCCAAATACTGAAAATACTAAAAATAATATTATCTCTGGCAAACCTACCTGTACGGTTGTATCAGGGGTTAGAATGTTGATAATTTGTTAATATTTCAAAAGTCTACGAAAATAATACATTTACTCAAGGGAGACTTCAGAGGTTCCTGAAAATGTTAAATTGCCTTGATTTTGATTGGCATTTTTTGGACCCAACTTGAAAGCCCGAGTCATCTCAAGCTGAAACCGTGATGATATTTCCGTGTTTGACGACTTGTATTCTGCGGAACACGCAAAGCACGTGCATTGTCTCACGTAATTGTCTCACGTAATCCTCAAAACCGGGGGTTGGAGAGCTACAGCTTGCACTGGCTATTTTGTAAATAAAATTTCACGAGACCCCAGCCACCTCTGTTTGTTTCTGCTTAGTCTGTGGCTGCTTTCATGCTACGACAGTAAATTGAGTGGTTGTGACAGGAGATTGTTATATGACCCGCAAGACCTAAAATATTTACTGTTTGGCCCGTTACAGGAGAGGTTTGCCTACACTTGCTTAAAACCACCCTTTGAAGGAGTTGCCATTCTTCCCATTTTTAGAATGAAAAACATAAAAGCCTGCAGAAGTTTAAATAACTGGGCAAGGTCTCTCAGCTCTTAGAATTCAAACCCAGGTCAGCTGAGTTCCAAAACTTCTGCTCTTAACTACAGCTGACCCTAAGGCTGATGGTCAATTCCTTTTATCCTAACTGGGTTTAACAATGGGGAAACTGATCTGTGATTTCTAATGGAATGCTATCCATCTCAAAGATAAGGCAGAAGGAGTGGGGTAGCGGTTAAGCACTCAGGTTCTGAAGCCACACTGCCTAACTGCAGCTCTACTACTTAATTTCTCTGTATCTCAGTTTCTTCCCCTATGAATTACCGATGATGGCTGTAGCTAGATGCGTGATTGATGCTGGGGTCAAGTGAGACGATGTCTAAAATGCTGAAAGGGCATTTGACATGTGGTCCACCAGTCACTTACTATTTTTATTTCAAACAACTATCATTTCAAAGTCAGAGTGAAATAAAGAGTTTGGAAAAGTTGGGATCACCTGGGTTGGCTAACAGAACAGAGCACAGTGGCCCCTGCTTGTCAGATAACAGCTAGGAAAGATGTCTGGCCAGCTCCTTTATACAGGTATACCTCATTTTATTTGCTTTACTGTGCTTTGCAGATATTGCATTTTTTTTAAAACAAACTGAAGGTTTGTTGTAACCCTGGGTGGAACAAGTCAATTGGCACCATTTTTCCAACAGCATTTGCTCACTTTGTGTCTCTGTGTCACATTTTGGCAATTCTTGCAATATTTCAAACTTTTTCATTGTTACTATATGATCTGTCATCATTGATCTTGAATGTTGCTGTTGCAAAAAGGTTATGACTAGCTGATGGCTCAAATGATAGCATTTTTTAGCAATAATGAATTTCTTAATTAAGGTATATGCATTGATTTTTAGATGTAATGCTATTGCACACTTTATAGACTACAGTATAGTGTAAATGTAATTTTTATATGCACTGGGAAACTAACAAGTTTGTGTGACTCGCTTTATGGTGGCATTTGCCTTATTGCAGTGGTCTGGAACCAAACCCACAGTATCTCCGATACTATGTGCTGTGAGAGATGTCTTTGGTCTGAGCACGTCTTGTAGTCCTCGGTTGGCCATGTTTACCTTGGGAAGGCGTGTTATGAGATGTTACAGGATGTTCATCCAGTGCTTGCTGGACCTTAAACCCCTTATTACTATTACCCCTGAT